CCGGGAGCGGCCACTGCACTCCAGTCTGGGCGACAGAGTGAGACTCCAACTCAAAAACAAAAACAAAAACAAAAAAAACTGGAAAGCAGTATACATGAAAACTAGTATACATTTCAGCAGTAGTCAAACAAGTACAAATTAAAGCAACCATAAGATATGATTTTTTCATTTACTGAACTGGTAGAGATGAAAAAAAAAGACTCAAAACCTGCAAAGCCTCTATGTAGTGTCTATAATTATAACACAATCCAATGTCTATTGGAAATACAGTGTTGGCTAAAAAGCAATAATGAAGCCATGGGGAGTATGGCCTAATCTTGGTAAAAAGATGTGTGTGGCTGGGTGCGCTGGCCCATACTGTTTCCGCAGGACTTTGGGAGGCCAAGGTGGGAGGACTGAGGAGTTCTGAGATCAGTCCGGACAACACAGTGAGACCTTGTCTCTACCAAAAAAAAAAGAAAATTAGATGGACATGGTGGTGAGCATCTGTATTCCCAGTTACTTGAAAGGCTAAAGCGGAAGGATCACTTGAACCCCGGAAGTGTTGCAGGCTGCAGGGAGCTGATTCTGCAATTGCACTCCAGCCGGGGTGACAAAGACAACCCTCCCCAACTGAGAAAAAAAGCATGTGTGTCTGTGTGTGTGTAGCAATGCATGCATACATATTTATAATACAGATGAAAGAAACGCAAATCTCAAAAGAGCCACCCCAAAATAGCAGAAAGAGTTCCGGTCTGGGAGTGCAGGTCATTTTTCCCCCTCTCTCACTGATCTGCGATAGTTTCTTATTCCATAACAAATATGTAGACTGAAACATTTAAAACAGTAAAATACTTACATATTAAACTTTTAAAATAAAAAAAAACTTTGAGTACTCTGAGGAATAATGATCTACAACATGAATAAGCAAATGCAATCCTCAATAAAACAGAAAGCAATTTCTACTTTACAAATGAATAGAGTCTGAATTATAACATTAAAATATATGTCTAGACTGAAAAGTAAATAGGGTATTAAAAACTTTTAGACATACCAGTAGTTTACGACACTTTTCTCTTCAGCATTGTGTACTGTTCTGAGATAGAGTTCAATTAAACAGTTATTTACCCAGAAAAAATAATATTATCATTGGTGATAAAGTACACAACTGAAGACCTGGCACCAAATACAACCAACGTCATACAAGAAAATATGCCATATACAATATTTTAACTCTCTGAAATAGTAAAATTATGCTGTCGATTAAATAAAAGAGGCACAAACACAGTAATGATGATATAAGAAATTCAATGTACTAAAAACTGTACTGAAACACAGCATTTGAAAAGTACTAGTACCCAATCTATTTAAAACTAGAATACTAAGTTTAATGAACATTATGCACTTGGGCAATAATTATTTTGCTTGACTTATTGGAAGTTGGGTGAATTAGGAATAAATTACTGGAATAGCTCATCTCTGATTCTGAAAAACTAGGTACTGGAATGTTCAAACTGATCAAGCCCCACTCCCAGAAAGTTCCCATAGCAAGAAAAGGCATTCTAAATCACACCACTGACCTTCACACTATTTTTGTGCTCTCAGGTGTTTAAAAGTCCTTACTAAGGGGTCCGAGTACAGGTATTTGGAAAAAATCATCTCATGAATCCAGTCATGCGTCAGATGAATTTTACAGTCTGAAATATCTACTCAGAAAGCCGTTCGACAGCCAACTGGGTCTATCTGCGGGCCGCTGCTCTCCCCAATAGCTGCCCTCACTACCTGTGCTGTGTGAATTGAAATGCATGGCTGACATGGACAAAGTGCAAACGATGAGGGATGCACGGAGAAGCCCAGACAGCCCTGGGTGTGGCCCATTAGAGCAACAGAACCCTGGAAAGGCACGGAGTGGGGACTTCCAAAGCATTCGTAACACAAGTATTTGCTTTCAATATACCCCAATCTTTTCCTCCCCTGAGTCGCATATCTGTCTAAAAAATTGGATTTCTAGAACTGATATATTAGGAGGTGATAATTTGCTTTTAGAAACTTCCCACAGGTTTCTACTAAATGTGCATTTAAATCGTGATTCTAGTTACTGAAGTTTAATTTTTCTTTTTCCTTAGGGGTTGTCTAGTCCAATTTATTCAGTGGAGAGATTCGATTTCTTCTGGTAATATTCCTGACAGGGGTCATTCGGCCTTTTCTTGCACACTCCTGGGAAAGGGAAGCCTGGTGTGTCAAGCAGCACAGTTATGCAAAAGCAGACACCGTCCACCCGTGGGCCTGATCTTCCTCATAAAAAATTGAAATCTACTTCCACGTAACTGATACTCTCCTGCTTCTATTTCTGTCCCATCCAATCATCCAGGACACAGTCTAACCGCAACCCACACCACAGTCCTTGAAACACTGAGGACAGATATCACACTCCTCCCAGGCCCTATTTTTACCTCTCCAGAGCAACTGTGTGTATTTCAGTGGAAATTACATAGCCCCTGGAGTCAGAGCTCAGCAGACTTCTGGATGTACATTCTTGAGAACGTTCTTTAAGCCTCTTCTAAATTTCCTTATCTGTGAGAGGCGAACATCCTGCCTGGCTCGTGTTTTACAGAAGAACTGAGTTGGCACAGCTGATGCCCAGTGCCATGCTTGACTCGGTGGAGAGAGCCGAGAATACGGACGACTCTCCCCCCAGCTTCCTCGAGCTTCGTTTCATCTGCAAATTTGGCAGGCAGAACCTGGATGAGCCCATGCACTTTCTGAGCCTCTGTCTCACAGAACAGACCACCCAGATACACCAGCAGCACGACAGCCTGGTCCAAGCTTTCCCCCTCTTCCTCCCTCAGGGCATCCTTTACTGTGAAGGCCGTCACAGAAAGGTCCTCACTTCACTGGTAGGGCAACTGTACTCTCTGGGGTTTATGGGCTGGTCCAGAGAAGAATGAAAAGCGTAAGGTTCCTATCCAGGAAAGGGAGGAAACAACCATCAGACTGACCATGGCTTTCTCACCAAAAACCCACAGATGCGAGCTCTGGGAGGCCACCGGTGTCACCAGCTGGTCAGCTTGGATAAAATGCACTCTGTCATGCATTAAGAAGCACGGGCTTTGGGATAGATCTCTCAGTTCCAACCCTGAAATCTACCGGCTTGTTGCACAAGGCTGGGCAAGTGACTCAGTTCCTCTTGGTCCCCTCCCCTACCTTGGGGAGGTCAAGCTCCTCTTTCTCTCTCTAATTTACTTCCTGTCCCTTGGCTTCCTCCTCGGTAAACGAAGGTCATTGCAGCTATTACTTTTTGCTTGGGTAACACCGACCAAGCATCCACGGAAAGGAGGAAAGAAAGGAAGGGCAAGGGAAAAAAGAGGGAGGGGAGCTACAGAAAGTTCCGCTGAGGGTCTAGTTTCATCTTGGTTTTAAAAAGATTGTTAACTCCAGTCCACAACTCAGACTCTGAGTTTCATTTCCCTGGGCATTGAGAAGTCAAGTTAGGGTCACATGAGGATTCCTTCTTGGGAGCCAAAACACAGAGTCAGCGTTCTCAGGGTCGCTTCCTCCACCACAGTGGAGAATAGACGCTAACGAAGATGACGTTGAACACAGCCAAGTGGCTGATGTCTAGGCAGCAGAAAGGAACGTGAAGACTGCTAAGTGAACAATCTCAGCGAAAGGACACAACATGGACTTAATACACCCAGCAAGCAGCCATCTAACATTGCCTAAATGTTTTTCTAGCAATTCACTTAACGTAACCTCTAATCAGACAGAACCGGTTTCTCAGGCAGCAATTGATAGCTGTTTCACAATCCCTTTCCCCTGCTTGGTTTGTACTAACTGGCTTTTCTGTTTCAAGTATCTGCATCCACCCAGAAGACCCAGGTTAACCTAATCAGCCCTTTGTGATCAACATGACAAAGACAGACCCTTTCACCATGGCAGCAATCATGTGACTAACCCACCCACCTGCCTGCTGTCCATCACCTGATGTTAGTACCCACGCTTACCTGCCCCTTCATGATGAGGTAAAGCAGACCACACCCCAAATCACTATAATGGCCTTTCCTCATCAAAGGGGGGGTTAAAAGGAGTCAACCACCAACAACCGGTCACCACTGCCATGGCCATTGCAGCCACTGCCTTAATAGACTCTGGTGTGGTCATGTTTCCTGGCTTTGGCCCCCTCCCCTACCTTGGGGAGGTGAATCTCCTCTTTCTCTCTAACTTACTTTCTAAATAAACCATATTTTCTGATCTAACTTTTGTGCAATTCTTTGCATCTCTGTCACAGCACCAGATCACACACCAGACACCCACACCCCCGGCAGGCCTGCCCTAACATACTGGAGGACCTGCTGGGAGTGTGACCTAACACTTGGCTTATGAGAGTGAGAGTTCTTTCATGTTCTAGCTCACTACACTCTTGCACGTTCCTCAGACATGGGCAGGACAATGGTTAATGGACAAAAAGCTATTTATTAAAGAACCAGTATCAGCACATCTTTACTAACATTTTCCTGGAATGATCCTTAAGTCTCCGTGGGTCACACTTTCTGTTCTGGGGCTTGTGTACTTTGTGTGAGCGGCTGAACCCGGGAGGTACCAACATGCAGAGCTCTGGAGTGGTGCTATAATCCTTGCACAGGCGAGGCTTCCTCTGCCTGCAGCCTGCCTCCTGGGCTTGGCCGTAGCTCCAGCACTGGCTCCAGGCTATGTTTGGTCCCTGGCCCGAGCTTAGACCCACATGCCCATTCATAAAACATGGTGTTTTATGTTACGTTAAAACGTATGCCACAGAAAGGAGACAACGAAAAGGATGAGTAGAAACAATGACGCGAATACAAAGCTGGGTGGGAGAAAAACCTATAATTTTTCACGTTGTTTCTTTTATGCACTATCAGTCCTGGGAAGTTGTCTATGCCCAAAGAATAGACATGCATTCCTAGATAATGTATGCTTACGAAGACTTACATACAAATATAATAACACATATTGCTAAAAACGGATAAATACTTCATACTGACCTTAGGGGGTTTAAACGGATAGTCTGGTGAAAAGGTAATGTCAAGAAAGAACACCCCTCCTTCATAGACAGATCCCGGGGGTCCCAATATAGTTGACCTCCATTCATAAATGTTGTCTCCTTTGGGTCCAGCACTGAAATAGGACACACAAATGAAACGTGCTTAGAGATTACATAAAGCCTGGAATTTAAAAAATCTATTTACGGTAACAATAAACCAAGCAATTCCATAACAACACAACACAGTTACTGGGTTAATTTTCTATTAGGATGCACATTGTCAGTATCATCACTACTCTATACATGCTGGTCTAACATAATAAGACGGAACCAGGGAGTTTCTGTTACGCCATTCACAACTCAGCCTATGGAAGAAAGGAGTCCAAGGACCACAGGCCCGAGGTCGGAGACCAAATGTTTAAGAAAAGCATAACATTGCTTGCAAGGTCAGAGACAAGGGCCACTGGGGGACCACTAGTCTAACTCCTGTGTTAACAGCTGAGACACAGATGAGGTCCATGGAGACCAGTGCGGCCATCAGGCAGACGTTCCACTCAAATAACACACCTTTTCCCTTCTGCCCACCCAGAGGACTCCCTACATCATGACCAGCATGGTCTACCGTGTGGATTCCAACTGCGTCTTGCAACTACTGCTTCTCCTGTCCCTCCCTGGGAAGTTGCTTGAGAAGCGGGCTTTGCCTTGTCCTTGGGGCCTCGTCAATAAATAGTGGCTGACGGTGGATTCAGAGCAAAGTAAAGAGGTCCCGAGGCTACGAGCAAGAAAACCTGCCTGAGTCGCAGAGAAATTTGCTGGGGAAAAGAAGGCCCACGAGTCGACTGAATGGTATCAGTACTTTCAGGGGAAGGAACAGAAGGGCAAAGTGAGGGGAGAATTCAGCTTTCCAGCATTCTTTTTGCTGCATCAAGCTAATACCTACATCTAACAGCCAGAGACTCTCCTCAAACTCTAGAGCGAAGTGGGCAGCCCAATGAATCCTATTAAGATGCATGAGAAAGTTTTTATTGTCAAAGATTTAGTTTTTTCCCCCTCTTATTTTGAAGTCAGTTTGTATCTACAAAAAAAATCATTGTTGAGCAGACATTTTATCATGAACAGCAATTCATGATTACAAAAACCAAACATATTCTTAGCAACATTGGAACAGAAGGACACTTCTTTAACCTGACAAAAGACATCAAAAACCTCACAGCAATGACGGTAAACTATGAAAAGCATTTCCTTTACAATGAAGAACAAGACGAGGATGCCTGTTATCTCTACTTGTAAGCAGTATTGTACTAGATCAAAACTCATCAAAGTATAAAAAATAAAAGATATATGGATTGGGGGAAGAAATAAAATCATTAGCATTTATAATATTTATGCACACAGAAAAAGCCAAAATATATGTACAACTTATTAAACTTAATAAAAAAAAAGGTTAGCAACTTGGCTGGATACAAGGTCAATATCCAAATACCAGCTTCATTTCAATACATCAATAAAATTAGAATTTTTTTTTTTTTTTTTTTGAGGCAGGGTCTCGCTATGTTGTCTAGGCTGGTCTTATATTTTTACATCCTCAGCCTTCAGAGTAGCTGGAATTACAGGGATGCACCATCATACCTGGCTCTGAGAAAATGTATTTTTAAGTGAGTTACAATAAGATTAAAGATATAAGGAGCCTGTGAATAAAGTTCATAAACAATACATAAGATCTTTATAAAGAAAATCATGAAACTTATTAAAAATATATTCATGCAAATTAAATAAATGGAGGAGAGATCAAGTTTATGGGCAGGACAACCTAATATCCTGCTGATGTCTACTTCCCCACACTAATCTGTTGCAGTTCTAATAAAAAGTTCAACAGTTTTTTAAAAAAAAGAAACCTGACAAGTTGCTTCTAAAATTTGTGTGCAAGCTCAAAGACATTTCTCAAACTTTTCTACATACATATCAACACATAATTTGTCAGAACTAGTGTGGCTAGGAAAACAATTTGCGTATTTTTAAAAAATGGGGAAATTGGATTTTTACTCTCAATAAATATACAGAACGGATGCATTTAAATGCAAAAGTCAAAATTTTTAAGAGTGTGACTGAAGACAGTGACAAGGCAAGCCACAAACTGAGAAAATATATTCAGCTCACGTAAAACTGATCCAATTCTAGTGTCCAGAATACACAAGTTCCTAGGAATCAAGATAAAAAAGAATAACTTCACTAAAAAAAATACATAAACAGACATTTTCACAACAGAGAGAGCATAAATGGCCCATCATCATGAAACACGCTCAATCTTGTTAAATGTAAGGAAATGAAATCAAAATCACAACTCAATCATACTGTTTTACAAAATATACAGGCTAAGCTAAATGTCTGACAAAACCAAATATTAATGAGGCGTGGGAAATGAGAACGCAGGCTCTTCCACTTAAGATGAAGACATGGCTGGCCCTTGAACAACATGGATTGAACTGCGCGGGTCCACTTACATGGGTTTTTTTCAACAAACTATACTGGAAAATTGTTTTGAGATCTGTGGTAATTTGCAAAAAAAGAAACGAAAAAAAAACCACGCCTGAACCACACAGTATAGACATATTGACAAAATTAAGAAGTTCAGTATGTAACGAATGCATAAAATATAGGTAGATACTAGTCTATTTTATCACTCACTACCACAAAATATACACAAATCTCTTACAAAAGTTAAAATTTATCAAAACTTAAGGACATGGACGCTTACTGACCATACATGGCACCATGTGCAGTCAAACGAAATGCAAACACAGAGATGCAGTATTAAATCATAACTGCAAAAATGACTGTAATACAAACTGTGCTGCTGTAATAATTTGATGGCCTCCTGTTGCTGCCACAGTGAGCTCAGGTGTTGAGAGCATCCACTTAGCACGCCGAGGGACACTCCTCTTCTGAGCAGTTCGTCTCTCCAGAAAAATGCGTTATCAATGTAAAAAAATCATCTCTCGCAGTTCTTGTGTATTCCTCATTGTGTTTAGTGCAACACCGTAAAACTAGGGGACCTATATGAAGGGTCACCAGTGATGCTGGAAGTGCTCCCAGGAAGTGGAGAAAAAGTCAAGCCATCACGAGAAAAAGCTGAGTTACTTGAAACATGCAGCAGACGGAGGTTGCAGATGTGTTGCCCATTTCAGACATGCGCCTTGTCCACAGACAAGCACGCTTCTGCACTGGAAAATACTATACTGCACACGTATCTTCTCTTCTCTAGGACTTTCTTGACATCTTCTTTTCTCCAGCTTACTTTACTTGTAAGAACACAGTATATAATACATGTAGCATGCAAAATACGTGTTAACTGACTGTTTAGATACAGCATCTCATCAACAGAAGGCTATTTTGTAGTTAAAATTTGGGAAAGTCAAAAGTTATACATAAATTTCCCCTGGCGTGAGAGGCCAGCGCTTCTAACTCCCCATGTTGCTCAAAGGCCAACTATACATGTATTTCACAACACAGCAATTATACTCCTTAGGTATATATTTTGCTGAGAGACATTTACACGTGGGTACCAGCAGGCATGTAAAAGAATGTTCGTGGAAGCCCTACTTGTAGTAGCAAAACTGGAAACAACACAAATGTCCACTGTCAGAAAAATGGATAAATGCACCCAAAGGAATACTATGCAGCAATGAAAATACACAGATTACATGAATGAATCTTTAAAAATATCATGCTGTATACATCCCTTCTAGACTTGCTTTTTTACTCATTATTAGTTATGAAATTTCTACAAAGCTTGAAAACAAGGAAATACATTGTTGAGGGTCATGTAAAGATGGGGTAAGACAAAATGGTGAATAAGAGAAAGGTTCAAAAGAACGGCTCCTGGGGGGGACAGAGACAGAGGAGTGCAGGAGCTTGTTCTGGTGAGCTCTGCTTCCTAGGAGCCACAGGGCCTGCTACTAGGAATCGAGCCTACTGCCGTGCCAGATATGTTCTTATATAGTGTCCAATTTTTATTTTTATTTATTTATTATTTTTTATAATCAATATTTTTTATTATGATATTGTGGGGTACAGTTAAGGGTTAGGCATACAAATATGCTTCATTCAGGCACCTTGTTAATAAGAGGTGTCTCCCCGTCAATTTTGATATTAAGAAAAAGTATGAGGCAGGGTGTGGTGGCTCAAGCCTATCATCCCAGCACTGTGGGAGGCAGAAGCGAGAAGACTGTCTGAGCCTGCGGGCTCGAGACCAGCCTGGGTACCATGGTGAGATCTCGTCTCTACAATAAATCAAAAAATTAGCTGGGTGTGGTAGCACGTGCCTGCAGTTCCAGCTACTTGAAAGGCTGAGGCAGAAGGATCACCAGCCCAGCAGGTCAACGCTGGGGTGGTCATTAGTGTGCCGCTGCACTCCAGCCTGGGCGATGGAGTGAGACTCCAACTCAAAAAAGGAAAAAGAAAAAGAAAAGAAAAAGTATGCCAAAAGTCCAGCAGAATGGCGTGTGAGAAAAGCTACGGAGCCAGATGTGCAGTGTGATCCTACCGTACAAATACAAACAGATCCCCTGTACCGTCTATCGATGCATACCTACACTAGGTCACGTCTTGTAAGAGATGAACAGAACGATGTCCCTAAATTCATGGGCAGTGGTGGTGCAAAGAACAAGGGATGAGGTGGAGCAGGGCGACGGGAGGAAACAGATCTGAAGACGGGAAACGAAGCTGAGCTCAATTTTATTCCTCTCCCTTAAAAAAAAGGGCGGGGGAAGGCAAGCAGAATCACAGTCATGCTGGCTTACTGCAAAGGGCGGAAAGACTGAGAAGCAGCGCGGCAGGGCACTCCTGCCCGCCCTCCTTTCCCCTTCTTCTGAGGTTGGCTACGAGACGCAGTGTATACAGCCCAGACTACAACAAAGCTTTGGCAACAACGGCCCCTTGTTGCCTGACAAGCTCACTCACTCAGATGAAAACACACACCGTTGAGTCCTGAGCTATAATTAGGCCCACTAAGAATAGATAAGTTTATCAGAAGGAAGAGCTTAAAAGTAGAGTAAATTACAGGCTTACGGTCACAACATTACTTCAAGGTAGATGAAGGAATTTAGTTACAAAACACATTCAAGAGCACAGTTAT